CAAAAAGCACTGACCTTCAGTACAAGCAAGTGATCTTGGATTTGGATGTTGCTCATTTTTTGTGGTTATGTAATATTACCATCATGCTTAGAACTATTTAAGAAATTGTTAAAGTACAATTGATATATTTGATTCATGTATACATGTCAGCTTCACAGACAAATATGTAGAAAGCTTGAAACTACAATTATGTGAATGTTCTGTTGATATTTTGTATTTGCAGCCAATTTGCACTTCATTAGTAAGTGAAGGTAACTAATAATAATACAGATACATTATTATATGTAATATTTAGAAGAAGAATATCACTAGATTCACTTAAATCTCAATGTAAGTTCTATGAAAGTGTAAGGATTGATTGTTGACTGGGACAGGTGAGCCTTTATGTTCTTTCAACATATTATTCTTGTAATATATATATATAATATATATATATATAAATTTTCATATACTCTTGTATTTATGCAGCTCACTGTTTGTGATAAAGAGTTATTGAAATAAACTTGACTTTGATCCCTCCAGGTGTCCAAAGTGCTCAGTGGGTCCAGACCCTCATGTTGAGAACTGTCAGATGAGAACATATTGAGGAGGCAACAGATCCAAGCAGCAGCTAGTGGACGTTTCTCTTCTCGTGACTCCCACAGATAATGAATCCTTATTACTGAGGAGGTTGCTCTGCCGGCTCAGTGAGCTACGAGGACAATCTGCCTCCAGAAATACACTCACACGCATGCTGCTGCACAGGTACTCAACTGTCAGCATGTAATCCTCCACACATACTGCCTACTCAGGCACTAAGTCAACCGGTCTTCAGTTCTGTATTAATGAAACTTATTCTGGGGTCTGTGTTTAAAATTAAACTTCCCATACTCGACTGTCAATAATTCACTTCATGAATTATGTCCTTACATAACCACCATGTGTAGTGTGAACTCTAATCATTTAAGCTCACTTTTTTCCTGTATATCAATATAGATATGGATTTTGATCTAATTTAGCCTTAGAATTAATTAAAAGTAACAGATTTCTTTTCTTTCAAGATGATCTGAATTCATTTTTTGAAAATAACAAATTATTATAATAATTTATTTATGTATTTTCATTTATATATTCTATATTTAATACAATTAAAAAAGATATATATTTAATCGCATATTTTACTTTTATATATATGACATAATTTGTTAGTTACTATAGTAGTTAGAGAGATCTGTTGTCACACTCATATGCACAAAAACATAAAGTCATTTGTTCACTCAGAGGTTAAGTGTATAACTCATATAATAAGAAATGTTATGTACATCATGTGTCTCACCAAGTTTTAAATGTTCGGGGTCCAGGGCTTGCACGGTGACCTGCTGGTGAAAGTGAAGGTTAAGTCCCAGCAGGAGCCCAGCAACAATGCATGATAATTAGCCTTCTGTTGTGATCTGGTTTCTGTCTCGTGCTCTCTGGACTGTGACCTCTGACCTCGTCCCACAGCCAGAAAACAACCCCTCTCTGCTGGAGGCCAAACAGCCTGTCAATCAGCCCGTCAATCAGCCTCCTTTAAATATGGCCCGTCCCCTGTTAAGAACAGCAGCCGCTGAATGCTTCAAAACAGATTGCAGGAGAGGGGGGAGAGATGGAAAAATGAAGGGGAGGATGAGAGTCTGATTGTTAAGGGAGATGAAACAAATGGCTCTGTCCAACAGCATAAACAAAATCAGTTTAGCAGAACTTGTATAGCTAACTAATTCACACATTGTCTGTATGATCAGTACAAAACCCACAGTGTAAAAATGATAGTTCACCATTTTAGGGTGGTTAGCATACATTTCATGGCTACTAGCATAAATTTCCCTGGAGTCTCTGCTTTTTCCTTTCCTTTTTATATACTTTGGTTTTTGAAAGCATTAAACAAACGAGATCTAACGTTAAAGTTGATATGTGAGCTTTAGAGGTGCTTGTAGGCTGATTTTGTTGCAATCAGTCACAGTCAACTCTTGTTTCCAAGCTAATCTAACTGCCTGCTGGCTTCATATTTAGGATACAGACGATACAAGATTGTTTTTCATTATACAGCACAAGGCTGTATAACAAAACAAAGTTTGTAGTCCCTACCTGCTACACACACAAAACTTAACATATAGCCTAATTAAGTGTATATTAAAATATGGTAACATATAGAACAAATAAAAATAATATATACACTTAATTGTATACAAATATAAGGGAAACTGGGGATGTATGTAAGATGGGTCAGTTGTAACACATCCAATTTCTCCAATCAGGAGCAAGTTATGAATCACCTGATTTACTCTACACATGCTTAGTTTAGTCATTATTCCACATGGGAAAAAGTAGTATCCAGTGACAGACACAGCTAATTGTAAAAGGAAATAATTTTTAGTTAAGAATGTATTTTTTGTTTACTTCTTTTATTTTTGTTATAGCATTGTCTGCTTTGTTGTTAAATTACAAGGTTAAAACTAACCCAGACTATGGGGTGAACTGTAACATTTGTCTCCTTTTGTTTGAGACAAGGCCATGCATTTTCTGTCAGTGTTGCAAAGATAACAGTTACACCATTTAATAGTTTGGATCACATTTTGAACACACTGGCTTAAGAGAGCCCTGAGATACAGACAGATATGTCAAAAATGTTATAAACACCCCCACCCTTCCCTTTACACCACGAATACTCTGCAGGGATTTATTCAACAAACCAACTGTTCAAGGATAGACCATTTTGTGTGCAGTATATTACACTGCTTCTAAATAATTATATAATAGCAGTGATATTATAATAGCCTAGGCTATATCACATGCTTGATGGACTTGCCAAACTCTGGTAATAAAGCTAAAGTGCACTGAAATGGTTACTGTTATATTTCCATTCCTTTACCTTCCATAATGGAGACTTTTTCCTCTGTACATGTTTCCAGACGGAACAGATTAATGTAGACATGAATGTGTGTTTAGATTTTTCTGTAAACAAACTTCAGGCGAACATTCAATTGTCAAGGCATTTTGGTTTCACGTCACATCGCACGACTCCCTGACAAGTCTCGCGAGAGTGTCGAGCTGAAGGCGTACTACTAAAGACTGACAGCAGAGGGAGCCAGAGATTTAGTGAGAAACCAGGAGTCTTTAAATGTTTAAACAGCTCCTCTGGTTACATGTTTGTTTTAATGAGCTTCATATTTAAGCATAAAGAGACCTTGTTTAAGTTATTTAGTTGTAGAAGGCCAAAATCTGTCCATGTGACTACAGAAGTCTGAACGAGATTTAGGTAAAAACTCAACACATTACGTTATTGTACTGTGTTACTGTGTTAATGAGATTTTAGTCTCACATCTAAAGCTGCAGCCTACAACTCCTCTGAGGAGAATTTGTTTTTGTTAGTGGAGAAATGTAGATCTGTTGTTGTAAACTGGGGAGTCTTACTGTTGGTTGGATAAAACCATAGACTGTATATAAAAAGGATAAAACAAGCTATTTCAAGACATCATCTTGACTTCTGGGAAGTTGTGAGGTCATTTTACAGACCCAAAAATGTGTAGATTTTTTATATGCAATTGCAGCACTAGTTTGGTCCCATAAAAAACATTAAAATTACTAAAAAAACAAACCCTAGAGTACAAATTCTGACTTTCTAATCAAACCCAAATCAGGAGCATAGAGTACCCAGCACCCAAAACTTGTGAGGGGGCACAAACACGAGTCTGATTCAAATCATGAGATGAAGCAGAAGATAAACCCACATCGTGTATGGAAGAGATTTGCCAGTCTGGTGAGTAATTTAAACTTCCATGTCGGCTGAAGTGAAAACATGAAGTGGGTGGATCAATGAGGTGTCATCTGGGACACAATTAGCATCACAATTATTAAAGTTTGCAGGGATTTTAACAGGGTAATCATGACTAATGCTGATGATCTAAGAACTGAAACATATTTATTCTGCTGCTGTATTCAGACATAAGCTAAACGCCTCCAATTTGGTATAAAATGTGAAAAAATATCTATGGAAATGAACATACAGGTAATTTTTCACCTGACATTATATCTAATATACCAACCCAAATAATGTTGCACAAGAAAAGGCAAAAATCTCTTTTAACAAAGACTATCCGTTTGAAACACTTCTCTTCCTAAATAGAAAGTCACAGGTCTGCGTCACACTACAACGTTGACACCGACATTTCTTCTTCCTCCGGAATTATCCCCATTGTCATGACCAAATCTCTTCCATCAAGGTCTTTTTGTTGCAGCTGTCTACCAGATGTAGACCTAAAAAAAGGAAATCCATCACAGGCCTATTGTGAGCAGAAGTGAGAACGCTTATCCCTGGATGGCTTTTCTTTCATAAAATGTGCCAGCACTTTGACAAATACAAAGTACTTGACTTGCTGTTGACATGACTTGAGTCATGAAGCATTCAGAGAGGCGGTCTGGCACGACGAGGCTGCAGGTTGTTGAATATAAAACCACCAGCATGAAAGAACAGATCTGACTCAGTAATACGGGTAGGCCAATGTGTGTGTATGTTTTTTTTTCCCTCTTCTGGAACTGATAACCAAACACAAACTATCCTCTGGTGAGCGACTAGGCCTGCAATGAACCAGTATTTTCAGTTTATTCATTTTTCCATTGATCATTGAATTTCTTGGTCTTTAAAATGTTGGAAAAAAGGATTTTTAAAAATCCCATTGCAATTTCCTGAAGATCAAAGTCAAGATCTTGAAATTGGGACCAACAGACCATCACATAAGACATAAATTATTCGATAATCAAAATAGTTGACAGATTAATAGACTAATGGTTAATCTCTATGTGCAATACTTGTATTATTGATGTCATCTTAAGCAAATAGCCTCAAAACAAGACAAAAAGCTCAAGTAAAATCCCAAAATAGGGAAAATTATTCACATTCTTATTCTTGGTTTGTAAAATCTTTCTCAAACTGAAGGAAGGGATGAGGAATGTGAGTAAACAAAAGAAAGACACGGAAACGGACATCCATTTTTACCTTTTTTAATGAACCCTGATTATTGTTTAATTACAAATGAAGATGAACAGACAGAAGAGAAACAGAAGTACAGGTGGTTTTCTCCATGATAATAACAAAAGTCTCAGTCTCTCCTCTGGAGTGACAGCTCACCGTCAAGGTGGACATGAGAGGAGAGACAGAGGCGACCGGAGAGGAAAGGGGGACACATTTCAAATAATACAATGGTTAAACAGTACAAAGCTCTTTTTTTCTTACAGAAACCTCCAAAATGGAAAAAATATATATACACAACATCAAAAAAAAAAAATTAAAACAATTGTTTCTTCCCCTGCTGTATATCTTGTGGGGATTATGTGGCCCTCCTCTTTTTCATGGTAGCATGGTTATAAAATCAGTGTGAGTTCAAAAAAAGAAGGAAAAGACCGTACTGAAGCTAACTAGCTGAAGTTCATGGGAAAGAGTGCAAACTGGAACAAAAACTCACAGAAAACCACGAAATTCATGGAGAAGAGACCGGGCCATGGCAAGAGGGTACAAAGTAATCAAAAATAGTCATGTTAATAATATAATAATTACAAGAGTAACAGTAATATGTCTGAAAAGGTACAGAAGAAAATGATAAGAACAACATTGAGGTGTGAAAATACCAAAAAGTGGGAAACAGTTATGCTCTTCTGTTTTGTTTTTGAAGCCACGACAGGTAAGGCAGCACAGGTGCAACAGTTCAGGTACAGCTCGGTGTTTGCATTTTCCTTCACCAGACAATAGTAAACAGCTACATCTGTCCTTAAAGTTCTTTAAAACGTTTTTTTGCTGGCATTTTTGACAGTCTCCACGGACCATAAACAACAAAAAAAAGTTTAAAAAGAGGAATTGTGATGATAAAAAAACTGATTAGAAGGATAGATGTAAGAGTTTTGTTTTGTGCGTGGTGAAGACAAATTTTACAACTTTAAAAGTTTAAGATACCCAGTAAGACACACACACGACACTGGAGCTTGTTGGGCAATCTGGATAAGGAAACAGGGACTAAATAACCCAGCTCTAGACTTTATCTGGCCAGTCTTTTCTAAGCTGTGTTGAATAGGTGTGTGTGTGTGTATATATAAGATGGAGGGCACAACCACAGGAACCACACATTCACGCACACAATTGCAAGTACACACACCGAGCAGAATGAGCGAGTCAGATTATGGGAAGTCCCTCTCACTCCACTCAGCGGTTTTGTGATGCCATTTCCTCTGAGTGTGTGTATGTGTGCGTGTGCATGCGCGTTAACAGTGTGTGTAGTTGCTCTGGTTTGCCTACTCCTGTGAGACTGTGGGGGCGTCTGATGTCACGTGTGATGTCATGTTTCCCTTTATTCTAGCCACAGTAAAGCCTTACTCTAACCAGGACATGGTGTGTATGTGTAGGGCAGGGTTCAGACCAGCCTAGATATACTTGGTTCACACAAAGCTGCTCGAGTCCACAGTCCACGCTTCAACCAAAGTCCAGCCATATCAGCAGCCGCGGCCCTGCTGGCTTTGCGAGGTGACGCGGAGCTGCTGCATATCTGTGTCGTCCAGTCAGAATCGGTCTTCTCTAAACACGCGAGTACGTTACCAGCTCCCCCGTTACAATCTGTGCCTCCACGTTTTTTTAAGCAGCTCGGGGTCAAACAGTTGCAGGCGGGCGGGGTTTACCATGCAAAATGTAAAAAAGAAAAAAGAAATTTACCTTTGTGTGACTGAGCTCGACTCTGTCCTGAGGTTGTAAACCCCGCCTGGCTGCTACCCCAAGGACGTTAAAACAAACACTAACAAGGTAAACACGACCCAGGACCAAGGTCTGGTTAAAAGTTTCTGCTCAAACATTTATCCTCATCCCATCACACCCTCTGTCCCCTGAATACACAATAACTGTTTTTTTTTTTTAACAATATAAATATAAAACTCTGACACCGGTGGCCTTTTGTCACTGCAGCTCAGCGGTCAAGAGAAGGCAAGTGTGAGAAGGCAAAGGCTGAATTATACTGGTAATAACATGCCCATTAGAATATATACATATCTTTACCATTAAAAATAGTAGGATGTTCCTGATTTGTATCAAATGACCGTATTGAAATATAATATTTGAATTCAATATATATTTGAATAAAATATATATGTGTAGATTTACTTATTCTGTATCTCTCTTTTACAAAAGCAGAAGGCATGGCGGTACTGTGTGAGTGTGAAAACATTTTGCTGGGGGTACTTGATAAAACTCATGTTGGTTTAAAAAAGGCACAATCTTATTTGAATCGTTTGTTCGTTGAAATGGGCTCCATGTCATTTTACTTTTGAAACTACATGAATAAAACATCATTAAAAAAAAAGGGTTGTTTTCTCTATATCTCTGTGAAGGTTTGCCTGAGTTAACCTTGATGCTCAACATTCACGACATGGTTCCCGTTCTCTCCTAGACAAATCAGTTCGCTTCAATCGTCGCTTCTCAAAACATCACATAAAACAGATTCGGCTATCATCTCCAAAATACAGAAAAGTCCTCAGATCACTGCAAATGCCCTAAAATACTGTCCACGTCCTTATGAGGCACAAGCATCCTTTAACAGAAATAATACAGTCTTTAAGAAAAAAAAAAAAAAAACTAAAAAGGGGGAATGCAGAAGAGAGATGTTGATCTGTATGTTTGAGGGAGAAAACACGACGAACGCCCTCAAACCCCCAAACCCCTCAAAGATTGTGCGAAGTCGAGCAGGAACATGAATATCTGTCTCCTCGAGGCGTGATGTTGGTACACCAGCTTTGGGCGCACACACACGCGCGCACATTCAGAAACAAGTGTGTCTGTAATTACAGCCTTGCTGGTAGCTGCTTCCTCATTTCCTCAACAAGTGACAACAGAAAAGGCGACACCCAGGTGTTTTTTCTGTACAAGGGAAACTACGTCCATTCGCTGGGAATCAAACGTCTAAAGATGCCGTGTGGCAGGTCAGAGGTTGAGAGGTCAACGTCAGTTCATTTAAATCTTCCTCTCCTGCTCAGGCTTACTTTGACTGTCCTTAAAATGTACAATTCCACCTTCATTTCATGTCTTTATACACTGTAGTGAATGAGCGGAGGATGAAGCGACCACTCAGTTTGGCCCTAATGCAGCCTGATAGTGTCCGAGAAAAGACTGATTGGAGAGTTCTTTCTAATCACCTCTTGAAGAAAAAAAAAAAATCCCTCTTCAGTCTTTAAGATCCATCAGAGCAAAGTCTGTTTTTTTCCCCTCACTGCCCTCCGTTTGTAAACGACTGCATGGTGATGGGTGCAGACAGAGAGGCACTTCTGTAATCTCTATCAGGGCTGTTGAAAGTGTTTTCAGTAACATTAAGATCTGTCTGTATGTTGTGGTGAGTACAAAAGGATGGGGGGGGGTGGGGTGGGGTGAAGAGGAGGGCTCACCACTTTCAAGTGAGCCAGATGTGAGAAATTCATCTACTGCTGTACAATTCAGGCTGCCTTTGTACTCTTTAAGGTGAATGTGATGCGTTTCCCTGTACCAGATAAACAAATAGACCTATTAAAGACATAATCTGGGCACAGGCGTGATGTGAGGTCATCCCTGGCAGACTTATAGCATAACTGGCACTATGAGGGTTTGAGGAGGCAATAAAAAGGCAATGTGCAATTCTAAGAGATATTTAGAGTAGACTCCCTCTCTGGAGGGCTCTACTGTTGAAAATGGGACAGAGTCAATATACAGACTAAGTTTGGTTATTTCTTAATGTTGTAAGTCACAGCAAAAATACTCTGTCTGCTGTGTTCATGTTTGATAGGGTTCCAGGGGCACAAAGGTGTCTTGCCTTGCAGTACATTAGAGGCTACACAGGCACATCTGCGTTTTATGGTTTTACATAAGTAGCCATAATGTCTAGCGGCTGCTTGCTGACAGTACTGACCACAGGAAAAGTATTGTTAAAGTAAAAAACAGTGACAAAACCTGAGAGGTAACTATGGTCACACGTTCATCTTGTTCTTTACAACCTCGTGAACATGTAGATGTAACATATGTAGGGGAAATATGTTGTTTTATGTTTAGTAACTTAAAGGGTTTGTGGGGCTGTGAGGTCAGTAAAAAGTGCCCGACAACTCCTTTAATTATTGCACAAAAAAAACTATTTCCTACATATGACACATGTACATATTCAGATATACGCCGAAGAACAACATTATAGTGTGTTTATATAATCACCTTTCAGTTGTCTTCATTTAAGCGCACTCTTGTGTCAAACCAAAACCTGCTACGTCCACTACTGCTGGCAAGAAACCACAAGGCGTTACGGTCTACATAAAACTATTACGTTTGTTGACAAGACTCTGAGAGGTGTGTGTTTTGTATCCGTGGAGGATCCCCTGTGTGTGTGTGTGTGTGTGTGTGTGTGTGTGTGTGTGTGTGTGTGTGCGTGCGTGCGTGCGTGTGCGCACATGCAGCTCAGCAGCCAGTGTTTTCCAGAGACAACTGTGCTGTAGCCCTCTGCAGCTCCGAACTCGCTCTGCGCTGGGTGGGAGGCGGTGGCAGCATCAACCCCAAAATAACACCTCTTCCTCCCCCGTTCTCCACCTCCCCCACTCTCCTCCCTGGCTCTTCACTCTTCCTCTCCACCATCTCCTCTCCCTCAGCCCTCACTTTCTTGTCTTCCGCCTCGTCCCTCTCTCCGTCAGCCTCCATCTTCTGGTCTTCGCTCCAGCGGCGCTTGAAGCGGAGTTTGAGAGGGATACAGCTCGTGCCTCTGGGGCTGATGGGAGCTGCCTGACCTGGCTCACTCTTCAGGCCAATCAGGGGGAAGGCCTGGCTGCCGCTGCCGATGGGCGGAGTGGCAGGAGTCTTGAAGACCTCGTCATCATCTGGGTCATAATCAGGGTTACTATGTGGAGGAACAGAAAGGCTGCTTCCATTTCCGTTAGCTTGGTGATGGTTGTTGAGCTGATGATGATGGTGACGGGCTGTGGCGGGGAAGAGGTCACCTCCATCGTCCTCGTCATTGTGATTGAGCTCATCTTCCTCACTTATGTCAGTCACCTCCACCTCTTCTTCTGACTCGATGTCTGATATGGGCTCCACCTGAAGAGGAAGAGTATTTTACAGCATGACATTTTATTTATGACTCCGGCCAGATCTTATTCATTCTGTGTGTGAGTCTTTGTGTGTTATGTGCAGTCTCACCTTGATCTTAGGAGGTCCTGCGTTGGATATCTGACCAGACCCTGTGAATGAGGAGGACTGGCTGGATGAAGAGGAGCAAGAAGAAGCAGCCAATGAGCTCCCAGAATCCTTCTGTTTGCGCCCAAGCGGAGGCGGCTGCAGCTTGAACTTAAACGGTGACGGGTGCAGCTGACCCTCCTCACCACCTCCCGGCTGCTGGCCAAGCGAATGAGAGAGCGGCAGGGGTGGGCCGTGGAGGTGGTGGGCGGCCGGCTTCTCCAGGGTGGGGCGATGGGGCTGAGGGATGATGATGTTGGGGTAGTGGAGGAAGGCTCGGGGGCTGAGGTGGTAGTTGTAGACGGACTGGGTGTGGGCCTGCAGGTAGTGCTTCATGTCCTCCGGGTTGAAGGAGAAGTGAGAGCCCATCATGGGAGAAGACATGGAGGGGGAGGGGGTGTAGGGCAGGTGGGGGGTAGGGGTCATGGACAGGGCTGGGGACAGAGTTGGGGCTAGAAGACCCCCGGGGCCAGGCAGGGGGGAGACAGGGAATGGAGACAGAGGATCTGGGTGGACCCTGTGGGAAGGTCTGACAAGCCCTGCTGGGTTCGGGCCCCCGCCGTAGACCCTGAAGAGAGAATCGTGAGGCAGGCGGTGAGGAAGCAGGCCCCTGAAAGCCCTCTCAGGCCCCACGCCTCGCTCATCGGCCCCAACAGCCTCTTCCAGCTCCGAATTGGTGGAGGTGCCATCGCTGCAGTCGCTCACAGAGCCGCGGGCCATGCGGCGAGCCACGCTGCTGAACATGCCTGGGCTGCGCAGCTCCTCACTGGATGAGAGGACTTCTGACGGTGTGGACGGAGGGAAACGGAAGTGGGTGCCTCCGGTTGGCACTGGAGGGGCACTCTGAGGGACTCCCCGACCTGTGAGGAAGAAAACACGTGAGGGTGAGCTAGTTAAATCCAACAATGTAAAAAAATGAAGATTGAAAGAAATGAGAAAATAAAAATCAGGCTCACAATCTTATAAAAACCAAATACATACAAAACCTCACTCAAAGCTCTGACACATAACACGGCATAAGGCAGTCATTGATTTTGTTTTAAACAGTGATTGTACATTTATTCTACCTATTATCACCTTTAATTTAATATTTCTCATCGCGATCATAGCAGAGCAGCAAGAGCGTATGTTTATTCATACAACTTTAGACAGCTAAAAGTTCACAAATGTATATTGTTAAACTTATAAAAGCAGATACTGTTATTAGATGTTCATTTTACAGTGAGTAAATCCCTGGAACATGCTTTAGTTTTTCAGAAATAAACCACTCAATGAGAGATCATATTGAGTCACAGAAGCTAGTGGAACAGCGCCAAGCTCAGAGGTGATGTTTTGCTCTCTGGGAATTATGAAGAAACGCACTATTCTCCCTTATCTCTAATGATGTTTAGTTTATGAGATTTTAGTCCCTGAGATTTCTGCTTCCATCCCTAAGCAATGGAAGCATATTGGCTGTAATTTATGGTGCTCAAAGTGACATTGTTTTTTTCCCCCAGAACCACAGTCCATGTTATTCTACGTTATTGATAGAATAGCGTCTGCATAGAGCTTTTTAAGCCATTTCTCTGGTAGAAAGCGGGTCTAATGAAAATGGATGACAGTGAGTTTTGTGGATTATCAAGAGTAACCAGAACATTGCTTGTAGAAGGAGATGCTACTGTTGATTTTTGTAATGCTAAAAGCATTAAAAAAGAAATTCCATTAACACCAAAACAATCTGCATGGCTAAAAATCACTGGGGCTAATTGACAAAATGTTTTTATTTTTTATTATTTTTGAATGAACCAGCTCTTTAAACTGAAGAGAAAGGGGAAAGCAACTAATGAGAGTAGGTCACATGTCTCCCATAACTCAAACTATTTTACCCAGAGAGTCACAAGCACACAGAAAGAAAAACCCTTGGTTACACAAAGCCACAAATTCCCTTCTCTTTCAACCCCTCCTCCCGCTCTCTCTCTCTTCTGCCAGGGAGATTGTGGCACTGCAATAAATTCTTGGCATCCGTGCACGTGCCAGAATTAAATATTGGAAAAGTCGCTCTTACTGCCATCACAAACATGGGTTGGGTTCCTTTTTTTCCAGTACCACTGTGTGTGTGTGTGTGTGTGTGTGTGTGTGTGTGTCTCTGTTTAAAAAAAAACAACACACATCTAACAGCCATGTGTCAGAGACGATGAGGAGAAAAAAACTGCATGCTTGTTTATGTAGTGTCCATGTTGTGTGCGTAACAATCCAGACTGACATGGGCATGTGTGTGTATGTGTGTAACCATCATATGAAACCATCATATCACAACATGTCAGTGTGTGGGCCACATCACACAGAGGCTATAATTAAAGTTTTGTGCTGCACTTATGTCACCCAGTATCCAACGCTCCATATGGGCCGTGTTTATACTGGGTGGCCGGGACCAGAACGAGAGACGACTTCAGAGGATGGGAGGAGAGGGATAAACTGGGACGTGGCACACTGATGTCTCAGAAGACACGCACGCACGCACGCACGCACGCACACAAGTAACCAGGCAGATACATGCACACAAACTACACCCAAATTTTGTTTGTGTATATGACATGCACTTCTATTAGGATGGTGTCTGACAGATTTTTCTTTTTAGAAATACTTGATGTGAATATGATTTGATTATACTAAATGCAGTGTTTAGATTGTGACGAGGACTGGCTGCAAAACTTCTTTACGCAAAGTCTTTGCCGATAACTTTTATCTTTGGCAAGTAAATTGTTAAGTTGCCCACCACACAGACTGGAAAATGTCTCAGACAATAACATTTGAATGTCTCGTTTATATATAATATGTGGGGGTTTTGCTCGAAAGCTGTCTCTGCAGACGACTGCACATGCTTGTCTTTGAAAAAAGTGGCTGGCTCGCTGTAATTAAAAGGTGATTTTTTTAAATCAGAGTTTATGGATGTAAGAAAATTAATTGCAAAGTCAAGTTCGGTAATTCACACAAAAGGGCCTCGAATTCACAGACACCTGAAGGCCAATAACCTTAGCTTACAAGCCTTGAACAAGTCCTAGCTCTCAAATGTGATTCATCATTTTCAAAGAAAAGTATTTCAGATGCCAAGGGATGTCATTGGGGCAGAAAAAGAAAGAAATTTCAGCTTTCAATAATTTCAAAAACCAAAAGCCCTGGTTAAGTGTTTTTTTAATACATTGACACAACCCTTGTAAATTATAACACAGACATCTTAAGACACTTGAACTCCTACGAGTCGTCTACTCTTCAGTGTCTGATGCTATACAATGCCAGAGAGTGTGCTAAACGCATCATGTATTGATTTACAATAAAATACATAAATGTGAGTAATACATAATACATAAAATGTGAGCGTGTGCGTACCAGAGCCCATGTCGATGAAGGGGTAGTTGACCAGCACTAGTTTGTTGAAGTTGAACTTGTAGGTGAACCGCTTCCCTTTGGTCTTGTGAAGGATCCTCTTGTTGTAGTAGTATCTAAAGAGAGAAGGATGGACAGCGTGTTACAATCTTTAAATACTTATCAGCAACATGTGGTAAACCTCTAACTGTGGCCACATTTAGTTTTAGAATATTTAAGTGTGAATTCATGGATGAAGTACACTTTTTAAACATATTTTCCGGCTGAAACTATGAATTAAAATAAGATTTCTCCTGCATGGCAAACAACAACTCAGTCGCATAGCCAGCCAGTGATTATTCACAGTGCAACCAAAATGACTGACACATTACCATAGTCCATTACTTTCCCATAGAACTGAATAAACTAACAGCTGACTCATATGTGGACCTTTTGTAATCTTGTTGGCTGGGTTGGCCGCAGTGTGTAGGGTTACTAGCCTATCAAATCTGCACTTACCAACCAATGTGAAGTAATTATGGTGAGCAGTTCTGCATAGCATTGTAAAATGGATAAAAAGATAATAAGAGCCATTAGGGGGTTTTCAGTTGTTAAAATTGAACTTTTATTTCGATGAATAAAGGAGAACATGCCCCAAACACATGGACGACAACTGCATTCCACCTTGGGGTCACTAGTAAGCTCTGAACTCAGTCGGCACAGGCCTCTACATAAATGTCAAAAATCGATTTTGTAATAATGTTATGTTGATGGAACGAAAACGGCGGGGCTCAACCACGAGGGCACAGTGCACACATAGGGCCCAATTTACTAACATCCCGAATAAAGAGTACTAAATTGCGTGTGCATTCTAAAATATTGCACTTGCAATTTTAGTACCTGTTATGGGTAATTTACTAAGAATTACTGCGTAGATTACAACAAACACAATGGAGGTGGCCGTATTTAAATGAGGGTTTTGCGTGTTTTAATGGTTTCTGCCATGGAGAGTCGGGAGGGAAACAGCCACAGCGTAAAAACCTTGGTTTGTTTCGTTCAGTGCGTCCCGAGTATGTGGAAATCGTATGTACCTGCTCATCCTGCCTGAGATTGCACTAAGTACTTGGGACAGCACACCTGAAAAACTGCTTTGGGAAACCCCAACAGAAACAGCTACAGTATGCTGGAACGACCCAGACGCAAGGAAATGTCAGCAGATTGTGCTTCATCCAGCCAGAGGGAACAATCACCGACCGCCCGTACCGTGCCTGGTTGCTCTGCAAACTCCTGTCCCTCGCCCTGTACGCCCCATTCCCTCTCCAAGACCTACAATGGGTTGTGTAGCTATTACGACTGGCGCGCTGTGAACAGTTGATGATCGTTCCCTCTGGCTGGATGAATTTTACACGCGATCCATGCATTACTGCAGCTGGGGGCTCTCCGCAGCGCTACGCAACTTCCTAAATGCTTCCATCTCACGAGAAAATAAGTCAGGTCGAAACTAAATTCGCTTTAGTGACAGGAATGTTAATACAACAGTATTGCTAGAGCAAAGGAATAATTTCAAAGGAAAATACAAAAAAAAAACCAATTCAATTCATATAGTTAATATAAAATAATTTTATTTCAATACACTGGATAGCCTATAGAATAACATTATCTAATATTGTTAATTTCTCTTTGTTTTCTTTCATTATGGCTGTGTCTCCTTCTTGCAACGATAACAGCAGCCATCTCTGCACAACACTTGGCCGTTTGCACCTTCCTTTCAAACGTATTAAATACAGATGCTGTTGCACTCACATGAAATTGTGTTTAGGCTCGTTAGATCACATTGCATGTAGTAAATTAACATTTTTGCATGTTACCCTCCCACTACTTTGCACAATAAAATTGAAACGCCCCAAATTGCATATTCATTAAGGCAAAAGTACTAAATGAACAGGTTCTATTTTGCACTTTTGAAAGACATCATTCTGTGTGCACACCGTTAGCAGATAAGCTTACGTGTTAATTTGCTGGAGATATCAAGTTTGCACACGTTTTTACTCATGCAAACCTTTAGTAAATCAGGCCCATAGTGGAGTAATCAGGTAGTTCATCAAAAAAAAAAGAAAATGTTTTTTTTTCCAGTTAGTCAGACAATGACAAAAACAAACACAAGTGAGAGCCAAAATATAATGCCCACCCTTTCTTTTTATTGAATCAACAATCGTTTTGAATCGAGAATTTGAATTTAACACCAATAATCAGAATAGAAGCCAAAGATTCCCACCACAACCTAACTAACTTTTTGTGTTTAATGTTACTGAATTGGCGTTTGCTAGTTGGCTATTTTAAATGATACATAACAATGTGATATTACAGAAGACAAAAGTGAAACATCAGAAACCATAGTGTTGCTGCACAAAGCATTACCTGCATGGTAATTCTATATTACTCAATGCACACAGCACACAATTAAACAAGCTGCTCACAATGTGAACACAGTTAGATTCAAAGTCTCACTGTGATTACTTAAGGAAGTGAGACAGCCGTTGTGATTTGGCCTTTACGCAGGCAGCTCCATTAGAGTGCATTAGTCATCGTCAATACACACAGCGATGTAGAAGAGTGAATAGCGAGCTGCTGACGACTCATCTAAAAGATAAAATGGATCATTGTGACTCACCGATAGCCTCAGGACAAAAGCACATTCATATTTCTTTACGTAAAAACTTCTAAATCACTGTCTCTCATTCAACGAGACTGGCCACTTCATTCCGGTATATGAAATACTTTGTTCATCATTTCCAGTAGAATCATGATCACATACAGAAAAAAAAAATACAGATTTGCTTGACTAAGAATTGTAAACATATCTCGAGTTATAACTGAGCTGTTCTCCAGCAGCAGAAAAAGCTGAATGTAAAATCATACCGGATAAACTGGGAATATATCAGTTCGGGTAACTCATCCCAGCACCATGCAAAATACTGTTATTTCAGAATATAACTTGCTTTTATGAGCAGCATAAAGAGAACTACAAACTTCATCTCATTATACAACCGTGTTGTAAAATCACAAATAAATCTACCTTTTGCATTCATCAATCTATATTTCTTTTTATATCCAGCTATCTAACAAGATCAATAGCTTATGCTTGGCCACTTATGTAACATTTGTGATATAACAAACATTATTACTCATGTACAGGTAAAACTACAGTAATAAAATGTAATGGTAAATAGAAAAAGAATTACACATCTCTGAAGTGATTAATGTTAACACAATAACCCAACATTTAAGTCCCTTTTTCTATAAATGCGATAAAACCACAGACTGTATAAAAGAAGTGGTTGTAGCACTGGTTTGTGGACCGCTGTTCTGAAGGCTCAGGTTTGACATAATGGCAGACACCATCTTGGTTTTTTAGAACCAGAAGTGACTGTACTTGGACGAGAGGGTGGGGCTGGGGAGGGATAAGCATTGCCACGCCTGACAGGTCGCTGTGGTAGTGACTAGTGAATCACAAGGTAGCCACGCCCTAAAGCAGCCCCTACTTTTTTGTGTATTTTACTCTAATGGCCCTTAAGGCACTTCCGCATTGGTTTCACTTTTCAGACCTGGAGGTTCACACTTTGATAAAACCAATTCTAGGAAGCATTTGCAAAATGCTATTTAACTTTGCCAAGTTAAAATCCTTCATGCTGGACCTTTCTTTGCCTTCCAGAGCTACAAAATGATGGATGACAACTACACACTAGTAGGTACAGATTAAAAAACACACACAATAATCCTGAATACAATACTTGTCATAATGATGAATCCGTGTCCAGCTGTATCAGTGTGATCAGAGTATTAGTCACTGGAGTTCGTTACAATACAGAACAGAGTAGTGTGTGAACCAGGAGCTCATCCAGTCCCTCTGTGACTCAATGAGTGAAGGGCCTCTACTGACAGAGCAGACTACTATGCACGCCCACACCATCCCATGAAATACAGGCACAAACCCACAAAGAAGCAGGCAGATAACACAGCAGACACACAGGCTCAAACATACAATGCATTCAGAAAACATACGCAAGCACACACAGAACAAATTAGAGCAGTTATTTGAACCATTTCAGAACACACAGTGTTCATACAGTTACAGTGGCTTAAGGTCATTTCAATTATACATTTAAATGTATAGGGGCTTGGAGAGGTGGAAAATGTTCTTTAACCTTTGAGTGAAGTTGTAAACATACAGTATAATAAGAGAATACTCCTCCTTTAAAGTTCTGCAATTAGAATTTCTGTGTAGAGTATTTAAATTATTAAGTTAAATCACTGCCATTGAGTAATTCTTTTGCTTATCAATTTTTTACATATAAAACCTTATTTTGCAAAGTAGGTTTAATTGTCACCTGATGACAATGGCTTTAAAAGAAGATTATGTCTCTCTGAAATATAGCTGACATGAAGAATGAAGTATCACAACAAGGAAAAAACACAAGCAAATGGCAGGTACTTAAATTTGTGCTGAGGTGCAGTACTTGAGAGCTCTGTACAGGTGGGAAGTAACATGTACATGGCAAGCATACACGGAAAACATGCGGCATATAAAAGAGGGGGAGATTATATATTTTACACACACACACACACACACACACACACACTGTAGGAGGTAAACAGCAGTATTTGTGAGTGAGTGTCAACAATATCAGGCCTGTATGTGCAGTAAAAGCTGGAGGGACATAATGTTCACAGACGTGTGGCTAGATCGATGGCACTTTGAACAAGTTGGGGAAAGTTCAAGCATATACATGTGAAAGGAATGAACACACACACGCATGCGCGCGCACACATACACACACACAGAGTACTGAGTCAATATGGGAAAGCCAGTCTCACATACCGGGCCCAGGCTTGCTTCAGGCCTCTTACTCTTTGAAGACCATTTGAACTTCCTTCAAATGAACTAGAAAAGGACTTTAACTGTTTAGACTAACCCTCTATGTATTGAACACACACATACTCACAGACTTGCATGTCTCCACACACATGTTTACCAATGCACACTCACTTCAAAGACGCAGAGAATCATCAATCAAAGACATCACATCTTACAGAGAGAACTTCCTTCCAAAGACTTCAGAAGAAATTAACAGCTCTT